CGATTAAGCTGTGTAATTGCCCTCTTTTGTTTTAGTCTGTGCACTTGGAGAAAGTCTGCCATACTCTCAAGTAGCAAAGGCTCATGGGACATTTCATAAATTGATAAAAAATGAGTTTTTGTGGCCTTATAAAGTGTCCAAATCTACATGTGGGGTTAAATCTGATCTAAATATTTCTTGTTGTCATTTTATGCTTCATGTTTAATCCTAATAAATCAAAGATAATGTCAGCACCATGACTGAAAACTACCTTCACTACAGCCCTTTTATAAAGTCATTTGACCAATGGAAATACTGTGTTTCTACCTATAGGATAACAGTTTACAACCTTGTAACTTCGGCAACTGTTGGTGGGCCAAATCAAATGGCTTGACAGGCCAAATTTGGCCCGCGGGCCCCAGTTTGGGCTCCTCTGCCTTAGATCTCTTGCATTATTAAAAAAAACTTGCATTGTTTTATTTTCAAATCATGAGGGATTCCGGTGAGTCTCAGCAATACAGCAATAAGTTAGTATTACTGAGCTTCTTTACATTTATGGAACATAAAGTTGTCCATTTAAAACATTTTTTAAACACATTAATTTTGAAAACAACTTTGAACAACAACATTTAAAACTTTGAATTCTATTTAGTATACTGGCTCATTTTACAGTTTAAAAAAAAGCTGCTGTAAATTTAAAWTTCTTTAAGAGTATTGAGCTTTCTGTTACTGTCACCAGGTGTGTATCAGCACGTGACGGGGGACATGCTTGGAGGTCATGCTATTAAACTCCTGGGCTGGGGGGAGGAGAATGGCACTCCCTACTGGCTGGCTGCAAACTCCTGGAACAGTGACTGGGGAGACGAAGGTACACGGGAGACAGACAACGTGTTTCTTTGCGCATGAAAGTTTAAGTTTAAGTTGACAACAGAGACTGGAAACATTCCTCCTTCAGTGTGTTTTCATCTCATCGCAGGTTTCTTCAAGATCAAACGTGGAAACGACGAATGTGGGATTGAGTCCGAGGTGGTTGCAGGAACCCCACTGAGCTAAACAAAACAAGTCCCGGTGGCAGATAATCAACAAATAAATCAAACAAGACCACTTTAAATATTAATAGAATTAATCTGATACACAGGGAATAAATTATTGTATCCTGAGCTTCTTTGTGAAGCAATAAGAGACCAGAATACTGTATGAATCTGTGAAACTTCATGATATATAAATGTATGTATGCATTTCAGAATATCATCCAGGAAAGACTTCATCATAAAGATTTACATTTAATATCATTCCTTTCACATAAAGGAGAGAAATTCCTCATAAACAAGAGACTAAAGTCAGTAAAATCACAATAAATTCTCAGTTAACTTTARGTGTTTCTTACATTTTATTACATGAAACAAGACACGGGCTGATCAATACTTTGGTATTCACAAATTCTTTGCCAATCATTTGGCAGTCKGTATAACATAAATCATTTTATATGTATTTTTTAACTGATATGTTTAGTCATATAAGCCCAGATTAAAAAAGGTCAGTCACAAAGTAAAATGTAGATTTTTTATGTAATATTTTAATGAACAACAACTTTAATAATAATAGTACGCACAGTGGCTCAGTTGGTAGAGTTGTTGCCTCTCAGAAAGGAGGAGAGGCAAGCCCAGGACCTTTCTGGATATAGTTCATGGGTTATCTCCAGGCATGGATGGATAATGATAATAAAAATACATGAAATTACAACTAATGTGGTAACCAGCTTTTGACCAGGCCATGGCACCTCCTGCTGTCAAACACTGAACCTCGCATATGTTAGTTACTAAGAAGCTTAGTTTCCTAGTTCCGCCTTCAGAGGTTAGACTAGAAAAAAAAGAAATCAAGGAAAGTGTTTGTACAGAGACGTACCGTCGCCTCCTGAAGCTAAACAAATTATTGCTTCTGTGTAATTTAGAAACAAACATATCAGGACCTATTTAATTATTATCTGATGAGAACTTCTTTAAAACATAACTGAAAGAATGAATTGCTTCAAATTCAAAACATTTGCAAATATGATTCGGACAAGTAATACACTGATGCTTCATCAACTTTAAACCATAAAGATTATTTTAGTTAAATAAACATAGCTGAAATCATACTGAGGGAGAAAAGAGATCTGTCCTCTTTTCTCCTGTAACTTTGATAAACATTCTCTGATTAACAAAATGCATAATAACTTTCATTTAAGAGAATGAATCAAATAAGAAGATTCTTCTGTCTATTATCTGATTAAGACAAAGTGTCTCTTTGACAAGTTAAGGCGACCTGAGGTGGCCTGGATTCAGTTCTAAGTGGAACAGAGTTTTTGTCTCTTTAAAGGCCCATCAAAGGTCTGAGGTCCAAGATTATTTCACTCGAGGTGACCCCTACACATGTTTGTACCTGCAGTTTGTTTCCGRTTAACAGCAGGGGGCGGCAGAGCGCTTCTATCTGATTGGCTGGCAGGAGACACAAACCACAGAAGAAGAAGAGCCAATCAGAGCCTCAGCTTTTCTGAGCAGGAAGCTGCACTTCCGGATGAAAGACCGGTATGTAAAATCCTGCCGGTGTTCCGACGTTCCGACCGGTCCTGTGGACTCCGTAGGTGACAGGGTTACTGGAACTTGTTTTCCTTTTTTCTTTTTTTTTTCGGGGATAAAAGAGGCTGCGGACCGTCCTGATCGTTAGCTGGAGGGGATGAAGGCTGGTTGCCGGGTATTAGCTTTATAATTTCTCTCTTTCAGCTCTCTTCGTCGCACAACCTGCTCTCTGACCTTTAAGCTGGAAGATAATAATAATAGATAGGCAGTACTTTGTCATGTATTTATCCAGTTTGGAGCTGTGGAGAACATACTGGGAGTGTGTTTCCAGGCCGTACACGGTGCTCGTCTGCTCTCTGACGGCTGCTCTGTGCTATCTGTGGGGCCGCAAGTGTCAGGTCAGTCCAGCGGTCAGTAGCTCCATAAACCAGCTCTAGTCCATCTAATTTAATTATTATTCACATTTGAAACGTTATTATTGTTGATAATTGCCAACTTTTGATGTTCAATTAATAAGATGATATGAAAGCATGATTTTATTAATAAAATTATGTTAATTTTTGAACAGTATTTGTTTTTTAAAGTTACATTTCAAGCTGTAAAATACTTTTTTTGGGGGGGATCTTTGCCTTCTTTATTTTAAATGCAAGCACAACTTAACATAAACTTAGGGAACTAGAAATATTATTTTGTTGTGTGTGCAGCGTACACATACAATGCTGCTGTTTAAACGTTCTTCAAAACAAAAATAAGCTTAAAGTTAGGATTAGGAACTTTAACTAACTAACCTATCCATGTAACTCTAGTTAAACGATGATTTATTTAGCATCATAATGAAATTCTAAGAAGATTTATCTAGGACAGAGGTGCCCAAAGTGGGGCCCGTGGGCCAAAATTGGCCCGCCAAGCCATTTCATTTGGCCCACCAGTAGTTTTTAATTGCCCGTCATCCTCTGTAGAAACTCTGTATTTCCATGTACAGTAATTACATCCAATGGCCCAGTGACTAAATAAGGGACTGTAGCACAGATAGCTGAGTTTGCCGCTGAATATTATTAAGATTAAATATAAAATACAAGAAACCAAAGAAGATATTTACATTAGATTTAAGCACACATGTAGATTTGAAAACTTGATAAGACTACAAAAAACTCATATTTTATCAACATATGAAATATATCCCATGAGCCTTTGCTGCCCGAGCAAGTGTACGGATTAAAACACAAACAAACAAAATGTGGGCCCCTGCACTGGCTCTTGGCTTAACCATAAAAAGTAAAAAGGCTTTAAGAAGTATATGCATTTCCTCTATTATATTATTGCATTCGGCCCGCAGCCCTTGGGTAGATTTTTATTTTGGCCCTCTCAGGGAATAAGTTTGGGCACCCCTGATCTAGGACATGAATGTAATATTGTGCAAAACTGCTGACGACAATAAAAGGCAGACAATATGAGGTACCCGTGCGTGCTAAAAACTTCCATCCAGTATTTCATCTGCTGTACAAACAAGTAATAAATACTTGACAGTGTAACATTCTCCAGCTTGTGTTTCTTATTTCTAACAGATTTCTGTAGAAAGTGATTTCTTCTGTTTAATGAATTTTTTTTTAATTTGGCTTCTTTTCCTCTCAGYCACCAGCTCTGATCTGCAGCGATGCTTTTAGCTCATTCCTACACGAACACTGCCCCGTGGTGGCCGAGCGCTTCAGCCCCACTCCCTGGTGCTGGGGGGGTCGGCTTCAAACGCTGGTCTGCGCCCTGGTTAAAACCAGACCGCCTGTTGCTTATCGCAAGTAGGAAGAAACTCCTTGTAGCGCTTTTTATGTTTTTTTATTTCCCTCATCAAAATATGAGCTCAGCATCATGTTTTTAATAACGCTGCGTCCTCGCCGTCTGTCAGTGAGCTGATCCGTACGGTCGACGGAGGTCAGGTCTCTCTGGACTGGGTGGACAATCAAAGCAGCGTGACGTACCCAGATTCCTCCACCCGCCCCACCGTGCTGATCCTGCCTGGCCTGACGGGGAACAGCCAGCAGTCCTACGTGCTTCATGCCGTCAGACAGGCCACGCGTCACGGCTACAGGTCGGCCTCCCACCTGGCATGGGTCTCGTCGAATTCAAAGATCATTATATTTTGTTTTTAAAGGACTCTTTGTTTTTCAGATGRGTCGTCTTCAACAACCGAGGGGTCGCAGGGGAGGAGTTGTTGGTGTGTATCATCATTTTATTTATGCATCTTTACTTTTCATGTTTGTGGGGCTGCGYTAGCTCGGCAGTCAGTGTCATGGGAGCGTATTTCTTAGGCTAGATCGAGTCCAGTGTGTGTCAGGACGGCCGTCTGGCTTTGCAGATTCGTAGTCTTGCTGTGGCAACTCTGGAGAAAAAAAAAACAACTTCAAAAGACTTTTAGAGCCTGTTGCTGCAAATTGGACAWTATTTTTAACAGTTTAGTGTGTGAAGTATAAAGTGCCTTTACTGTAGGTTATTCTTTGTTCCTTAGTGTGAATCTTCCTGACTTTACATATTCAGTTGCACACTATTGGGATTCATTTCCCATCCAAGTCATCTCCACGTTGGCATGCTTCTCCTCTTACATACTTTTTCCTAGCGCTGCCATTGTAATTTATATCTGTAAAGCTCCTGTGCCAAATGATGGCTATGCCTTTTGGTGCCTGTACAACTTACAGTTTTTGAAATCTTAATGTTTAATATTTTATAATGGGAGTCAATGGAGCCTTATATTGGTCCAATACTGCCCCCTGCTGTATCTACTCAGTACTGAACCATAGATTAATAATATTTAATCTGAATAGTTCAGTGGTTACAATACTAATATCATTGTATTTTGATGTTTTACTATAATATTGTCCTAATATTGCTCTATTGCTGTAATATATTTCAGTTTAGTGTCAACAATTGCATTGGCAATGTGGCCTCTTTCTGCACACATACAAACCAATACCTGGCATTGCCCTCTGCCACAGCTCCAATAGTTTTATGGTTAGTGCCATGAACTTTCATGTGGAAGATCACAGGTTGAAACCCAGCTAAAACAACTTTAACAAAAAATCTCTTCAAACTTCATATTGTCACACAATTACCTTAATTACAAACACCTGCTGACTTGACAAGCACATGCTGGTATAGAAAACATATTTGAACTTGGTCACAGTTCATTCTGCAAGTCCACTGCTGCAGGCAAAGCCATGCTACATGGCAATGCACAGTTGTTTTTACATCGTAAAAATCCATGTCTAGTAAAGATTTGTTTTTCTTGTTACTGAGAAGCTGGTATCTGCACAGCATATATGGCAGTGTTGTTTTTTTTTTTTTTTTTTAGCAGCATTAAATCAACAATAATGTTAATTTAACATGGTTTAACAGCATTATGTCACTCCTTTCCGGTCTGTTTCAGCACAAATGRTAACATTTTCCTAAAATTAAATAGAATACATTCTAAACCATGTGACTTAGTGACCGACTGCAGTTCTGGTTTAGTTTCACACAGCAGCTTCATTTACTGTATTTATTTTTCAGACTGMTTCTGTGCTACATCCCTCCGTATGAGTCTTAATATAGAATACAATAGAACAAGTGTTTGAAATTTCTTGTACTTCAGCTCTGAATTGAACCCTCCTCCTGTGAATCTGTGCGTCTTTCAGACGCCGGTCACCTACTGCGCTGCCAACACGTCCGATCTGGAGCGAGTGGTGAAGCACGTTAAAGGACTTTATCCCCACGCTCCGGTGCTCGGTGCGGGTGTTTCTATGGGAGGGTAAGCTGCTGGTGTTTATTACTGTGAAACAGTTCCAACTGCTTCTTCCTGGCACTAATTGTTTTTCATCCTGCGCCCCTCCCCCTGCAGTATGATACTGTTAAACTACCTGGCCCATAAGCGCACAGAGTCAGGAATGATCGCAGGAATCACCATCTCTGTGGCCTGGGACGCACAGAAGTCATCCGACTCCATGGAGGAGCCTCTGAACTGGCTTCTCTTCAACAAACACCTCACACGTGGCCTGTGTCGTACMGTCACCAGGTAAGACTGTTGTTACACCAAAGTGTGTCGATAAGGGCTGCACGATATCAGGAAAACCTGCAATGTTTGATAACAATGCTTAATATTGTGAAACCAATATGACTTAATGATAAATGAACAAATACTTATAAGTATGCAGTGTTTATGACTTCCTGCTCATCATTTCCATTCCAACATGCAACTAGACACAGCTGCTGTATTAGTAGTGAAACAACAAACTGCATGCAGTACGGTTTCCTAACGACATCCCCATAAAACACGTGTCAAATTGAAGGCCCCCGGGCCAAATGAGGTCTGTGGCTGACTWKCGTCCAGCCTGACAAAATGCTTTCCTTAATTTAATATGAAAATAGTTTTTAAATCAGTGGGAAAATTTAAATTTATGATTCAATGCAACAAATTGAACACGTTTAACAAGTGAAAGATAAAAATACTTGTCCTGCCCCAGAGCTGTTGGCTTTAAGTAACTGTGGCCCCCTAAGTAATTTAGTTGAACAGTTCTGTATTATTGTCTCAAAATAAGCTGCTTTAAAGCCAACATTACCCATAAACTACATCTCCCATAATGCATGTCYCTCATGCGTGGGAATGCCCTGTCGGAAAGTAGTTCAGAATTCAGGATTTACCACAACTCATCAGTGGGTAAAACTCTTACTTTTACTTTTAACTGATTTTCTGTATTATTTATTTCACATTTAGTCAGCTGTACAGGTAGTACTTTTCAGTGTTTATAAGAGGATGTGTTAAAACGTTGCTCTGCAGGAAATACTTAGAGCTATGTTGTTTGTTAGTGGTGCATAGCCTGTAGTCGAAGTTAAACGTGAAACTTGGACATTATTACAACTAGGGATGCACTGATATGAAAATTTCAGCCGATATCGATATCCGATATAATTATTGCTGTTATGGCCGATAACCGATATTTACGATATTACACAAACACAAAAATTATATTATACAAATACGCATAAACACACTTGGGTCTTTTTTTGATACCTTAAATAAATGAGCAGACCTCTGACATGGCTCTACTTCAGTTATTCCTGGCTGCGCAGCGTCAATATCACGATCAAACAGATCCTGCTCAACCAACCGTCTCCACTCCCAAAACAGAAACACCACGATAAAAAGTGGGAAATCAATATCGGACGTTAATATCGGCCCGGTTTTACATATTGGACGATACCGATATATTCTAAAAAATTGCCAATATCGGCCGATACCGATATCAGTACCAATATATCGTGCATCCTTAATTACAAATGGCCCTTTGAGGGCCGCCATGACGCTCACTTGGCCCATAGTAGCTACGTTTACATGGACATAAGTAATCGGATTAAACGGCCATTCGGAATAAAGCTGCGTCATGTAAACGCTCCATTCGGATCATTCTGACCCGATTCAGCTCGATCCGAATGAATTTGTAATTGGAATGAGAGGGGTGCTTTGTGCTGATTGATAATCCGACGTGCATGTCAACACTTAYTCCGATCATTTTAATCTGATTGTAGAAAACTGACCTGACTGTTCATGTCTGCTGATTTTCATCCAGTGGTTTCTGCTCTTTTGTGGAGGGAGGGGCAGCAGCGCAGTAGTTTCCAGCAGCACAGAACTTTTCCTCCAGTTTTCTCATTCAATAAAGAAGGAAGACATACAGCCTTTGTCGCTTCGCAAAAACAAAAAAGTCCGTGCGTCACCTGCAGCTGAACCAGAGTGCAGTAACGTCTCCACCATTATTAAAACCTGTCGCAGATCCATTCTGAGCTCAGAAACTGTTTATCTTCATGACGAAAGTAGAAATTTTTTCTGTTTTTTTTTAAGTGAAAGTTAGCAACTGTGCATGTCAGTGCTTCTATTCWGAATAAAAGCCTGGTGCATGTAAACACTCGTCATGATCGTATTGTGCGCATGTAAACAATACATTCTGATTATTTAATCCGAATGCATTTCAATCCCATCAAAGAATTTCGCGTATGTAAACATAGCTGCTGAAAACGAATTTGACACTCCTGGTTGCCATAAAACACTTTTTGATGCTCTAAATACTGACATATGTCCCTTATTATTAGGCTTTTTAAAATAAATTATAAAAAATTATTTAAATGTAAGAGATGTTGTGTTTTTTTTTTAAACCATGAGTTTTCCTTACTTCTCATGCTCTCAACCATTGCGACTCTCACTAAGCTTGCTCAGCTGTTTGCTACGTAGGGGCGGGCATCTAACGTAAAGAAATCTATCCGATTGGCCAAATACGTGAARGGCTCCATTTGATTGGTCAAACACTTCAGGCTTCCATGTGGGTGGTAAACATTTGAGCCAACCATTTATRGCAGTATWTTTTGGRGATGGRYATTGCACAGGCTGTTATTGTGATAATACATTTTCTATATATCGTGCAGCCCTATTGTAGAATCAGTTTTTCTAACAAAGAAATGTGCAATTTTTTCCTCAGGCACAGGAAGATTCTTGAGAAAGTGGTGGATATTGACTATGTCCTGAAGGTACGGCCTGTTAATGAGAGAGGGTCACTCTTTTATGAGTTTAATTGTGTTTCACCGTTTATTTCTTCCTCTTAGGCACGGACCATCCGGGAGTTCGATGAGCGCTTCACCTCTCTGCTGTTTGGTTATAAGTCTTGTATCGATTATTACCACGATGCCAGCCCGGGCAAGAAACTCCCACATACTGCGGTTCCGATCCTGTGTCTCAACGCTGCTGACGACCCCTTCTCTCCTCAGCATGGTGGGCAACTAAATCAGACTTTATTTGAAGAGAACATTTGCTACACACCAAGTTTTATCTGTTGGTTTTATCAGCTTTTGTAATGTATTTCTTGCTCCGACAGCTTTCCCGGTGCCCATAGTCCAGAGCCTGCCGAACGTGGCCCTGCTGCTGACGGCTCACGGCGGACACATCGCCTTTTTGCAGGGACTGTTTCCGCGCGGCGAGAGCTACATGGAGCGCCTGTTTGGCCAGTTTGTTCGCGCAGCCTTCGAACACCAGAGGGACATCAAGGAAGCATGCGGCATCGAATAGGACGGAACGCGTAAATACCACAGTACTGACACAGCAACGTGTTGATTAGCCTTGCACGCTGTTTCTCATCCACATACATGGTCGAAGTTATCGCTCGAGTTTTAGACGTCGCTGCAGCAGCTCCTCTGATCTACCTCCTCGCCATCTCAAGGTCTCACTCTGCAGACTGTCAGAGGACATTTTCATGCCATAGAGGCAATTTTTCAAGTTTGGAGTTCTCAAACATTTGAAATGTCCACACTAAATAGAAAATATATTTTTAAAATACTAGTCTCCTGACTATAAACATTGTTCTAGTTTTTTTTTCAATAAAGATCCGTCCCAGCTGCTCAGTATAAAACTGTAAAAACAGTTTAAACTTATTGCTTTTTAAAAATAGGTGTCTTACATTTAGCTGTTTTGGGGCATTAAAGCTATAGTTGTGATCTTTTAAAGTGTGTTTCTGCGGCAAAGTCGAGCAATCAATATCTTACCTGTTGRAGGTGGCTCTCTGAATGAGCTCAGTTTGAAAAAGTATTTTAATTCTAACCAAATTATTGAGCTAATGGGCTAAAGTGGATTGATAATGGTTAAAACAACTACAGTCTGAAATATTTCAAAGTAGTTCATTTGAACAATATTTTTAAATTATGTCTACTTTATGTAACATGGTTGTTAACACAGGATTCTACGAGTATATACAAGTGCTAACAGTAGCACACTTATTCCAGGAACGTCCTCTTTTTATAGGAAATTATGAAGGTAGATYGTGTGGTAAGTCAAACCTTTTGAACGAATTTTTAAAACCAACAACAGGAACCGAATTACAGACGATTTAAAGACGTTTCTGTTTGACAAAAGTTTTTCAGCCTTGTGATTTCCTCGTGTTTTTTGTTTTTAGAAGGAGACARGGAAAGTCACGTGGTACTTCGCCATGCACCGTCTACGTCACCACGTATAGTTGTACTTGTTGATGTAGACCACACGTGACATCACTAACGGTCAAAATTAAAAGGCTTTTTCAAACGAACCAAACGTAAAGATCTGGATCCTTTTAAAGAACCATAAACCTCCTCTATAAATAAAGTAATATGAAATTGACAACAATTAAAATAAAAAAAATAGTGTTTGCATACGTTACAAAATTAGCCATGTAAAAGTAAGTTAAATAATACTAGATTATTGTCTGATATACTCAAATTACGTTCAGACAATTGCACTTGTTAAGACTTCTTGAAATAAAATAAATAAAAAATAAAAAATCCAGGCTAACGAGATTAATGCTCTGCTTGAACTGATGCTCTTTCTCAGTCTCAAAACAAGATCAAAAATACTTTTTGGCTGGATATAAGATCACAGGACTTAGATGGACAGTTTTTGCAGAGTAAATTAGAACAGTTTGAAGATGGCAGCCCTGCTCCGTCTAGCCATTAGCTCATCAATTCATCAGTTTGATTGGAATTAAACTCTATTTCTCTAAACTAAAGTAATTCAAATATCTATCTAAAACAGGTAAGATATTAGTAGTTCGTATCCTTTCTATAGAARATTATTTTAAAGTATCTGAACTATTGCTTTATGGTATAAAAACTATCTTGATATTTATATAAACCATTGGATCCAAAGTTCGGGACGGGACCCCAGTAGGTGTGAAACATCTAAAGAGGGTTTTAAAAAGATCTACCTAACTTTAAAAATGATTGTCTAAAACATTTAGACTCCGCTGCTTATTAAAGAAAGTATTATTTAATGGTTACTGAGGCTGCATTAAATTACTTATTAGCAGTATTTGTACTGAAAGTACAGTATGTGAACCACTGATAAAATCTAATGTGCTACTTTTTCTTTTCTTGTCATAGGAAGAAGAGTTGACAGTGTTTAAGGAAAAAAAAACAGCAGTGAAGCTCTGTGTGGTATCTAATTATTACAGTACTCGCTGTCAGAAATGATTTGTGATACCCGTTGGTTATGAAGTTTCGTGCTCAGATTTGCCTTTTGTTGATAATTTGCACTTGTCGTTTAGAAAATACAGATGAAGGAATGTTAATCAAGTGAAGCCTGTAGCTATTTTTACTTGTTCATTAATATTTCTGCACGAATCAGACTTGAATTGAATGAAATTGGCCTGTATAGATACGATTGATGATTGTATTTCTGAGTGCACTTACACTTATTGTCCCAATACCAAGATGTGTCATTTTTACCTAGAAACCTCAGTTTTACTCTTTAATGAAAAGTAATTGCAGCGCGTGATCATAAAGATATTACATCAGCTGGTGGTGCTAATTTTTTGTCTTTGTTTGTGAAGCATGGTGACTGATTTGTGATTTTGACATGTATTTAAATATATTCACCACATTTATTTTTATTTAATTCACTGTATTTGTCAATGCACAAGTTTGCCTTTTTATATCTGTATAAGATGTAAAAACAATCACGCCTACTATTGTAATGTGAAGTATATTAAAGCTGCATCATTTGGGCATTATACAGCACAGTTTTTGGTTTTATTTATTACACCTATTACAGTTATAAAACTAGATGAATTCAGAGCATAGATCTCTGCCAAGACCCTAATARATGAGTCAAATTCAAGGCCTGGCCTGCGAGAGCTTCAGAGATGTCATATAAAGCTGCTTTAAAGCCAGTGTTGGCCATAAACTACATCTCCCATAATGCATGTTGATTATTTCACCCAGCAAGTAACAGCATCCCACCATTACAGGGTTCAAAAGTAGCCAGTAGCCACAGAAATTCAGTGTAAAATCTCCATTTAGTTGTGTTTTTACTGGCTACTTTTGCCGCATTTGTACTGGGAAGTGGGAACTTCCCACATACAAGTAGCAAATTTAAACAAGAGTGCCTCTCCTGTGGGACATCCCCGCCGGAACGTGGGATAGTTCAGAATTCAAGATGGCGGCTAGTCATCACAACTTAAAGGGGCAATATCATGTAAAATCAACTTTTTTGAGTTTTATATCATGTTATAATGTTACACTCTCATAAAAAACATGCCCAAAGCCTTGCTTTGACTCATTCATGCATGTTTGAGAAATCCTGCAGCGTTTTTAGGAAGCCATGCTGAGGAACAAAACGACAGGTGGGGTCTAGAGACGCCGTTTAGTAACAGAAACACCCCTGGGACGTGTCTTTAAGACGAACTTCCTCATGGCAGAGTACCCCTCCCCCTCAAGCACTGA